AGCATTCCCAGCCCTGTGACGGCTGGGCTGGAGCAAAACTGGAGCAGAACCGTTCGCAGGCGGTTTAGTCTCATCCTAAACACAGATTTGGTTGATGCTCTCACGGTCCCCGGCTGCCATCTCCGGCAGATGCTCAGCAGACAAGCCAGGGCTTTACTATCAGGGCCAACACGCTCCCTCAGAAGGCACAGGAGCTCCCCAGCCACTGCAAAGTCAAACCTGTTCTAGTGAAAACACGCTCGGTGAGCTGGAGCAGAACGGGAGACACCTCCTGTCTCAAGAGAAGCTGCGGCCTCGCAACACACTACAGGGAAGGGGCTGAGAAAGCCCAGCCGTGGGCACCAGTGCTCAGGGAGAGGAGCCATGCTTGGCCGGGGCGAGTCCTCCCCGTCACCCCTCGGTACTCATGCACTGGGGTCTTTAGCTAGTGAAAACACGCTCGGTGAGCTGGAGCAGAACGGGAGACACCTCCTGTCTCAAGAGAAGCTGCGGCCTCGCAACACACTACAGGGAAGGGGCTGAGAAAGCCCAGCCGTGGGCACCAGTGCTCAGGGAGAGGAGCCATGCTTGGCCGGGGCGAGTCCTCCCCGTCACCCCTCGGTACTCATGCACTGGGGTCTTTAGGGCTGAGTTGTAGGTACAGGTACCGAGGCAGCTGCAGTGTGGGCTCTGCCTGGATCCGAAGCGGCGCAGGCCAGAGTCCAAGTGGGTTATCGAAGGCAGGAGGAGAGCAGCGCGAGCGCTCGCATCTCAGGACACAGGTTACTACGTGAACCCTCCGCCAGCCCCGTCCCAAGGGCTTACACAACGCTATTTGTAAACATTTACTTGCTTTTACTCATTTACAAAGCCTTGTAGTCTAAAGTCCTTTTCCCCTTGTGTAACCGGTTCTAGCACCGTCAGTCTGGGGGCAGAAACTCAGCTTCTCACTTGGTTAAATCTTCTCGTTCATCTAACGGTCTAGGGCGCCGCGATGGAAACTCACCACTCGGTACAAAACGCATCTCCAGAGCCTCCAGCCACTGCTTAACCCGGGGAGAGACCCCCCTTCTGCCCTTCAAGCACCGCAGGGAAACTGAGCTCCAAGAGCAGACACGTCGGTAACCCAAAGTTTAAGAGGAGCTCAGCAAAGCCGTGCCTTGTCCCTACCCCCCGCCTGCACTCTGGGGGGCCAGGGCTTGGCACGCCCGCTCTGCCCCCCGCGCCAGCCTGTTCCAACCCAGGACTTTCCCAACAGACCCGTGCTGTGTCCCCACACAAAGCCGTGCCTCCTGCGTCCTGGACGCTGCTCCTCCGCAATGGGGTCTGCTGTGCCAAGGGCAAGCGGGTGGCTGGAGACCAGCACAACCCAGTCCTGCAGTGAATACTGATCCACCCAGCTCAGCCTCTCTCCAAAGCCCTCTTCGCGAGGGACTCGGATGGTGTTTTTCATCCGGAGAAGGCCTGTAATTACAGCTCAGGCAGGAATTTCTCTTACAGCCTGCTGCTGCCAACGCAGCCACCGAGGAGCAAAGGAGCAACTGCTTCCAACTAGCAGAAGAGGTCTTCAGAGGCTAACGGCGAGTTTAAACTCTTCTCGGAACCAACCCCTTCTAGTTCAGGCAGGGCTGGTCCTGCTGCTGCTTCCCAAAGCGCCAGAGGAGCTGCTGCAAGGCAGCTGTAGCTACAGGACATTCACCCCTCTCTTACTGTGTGTGTTTGTGGAAGCTTTAGCAGTGCCAGGACTCAGGGGTCTGTCCTGAAGGGAAGGAAGGAACACACTGCTGCAGTTCGGGGTACACTGGTAACTTAACCCCTTCTAGCTCATTCTTTACACAGGATGGGGAAGGTCACCAACAGGAATAAATACTCCACCAGCACACAGCACATCCCTGAAGAGATGGCAGTGTGCTGGGACCTGCTCTTCACCTGCCTGCAGAAGTAGGTCAAATTCCAAAGAGAATCAGCCGGTCAGGTTCCCTTCTTATTTAACGCTGTTTATTAGAGAGACTATGTCTGCAATTTACTTCAGGCCACAAAAGCCAAGAAGAATCTAGGCAATGCCCTGCTATGCAAGACATGTCACGAAACCCCGGCCGTGCTGGGCAGAGCCGGCGTCCTCCGGCAGGAAGGCAGCCAGCAGGGAACCTACACGAGCGGCAGGAAGCCTTACCTCTGCTGGGCACCTTATTCCTACTGAATCCAGCAGCGGGCTGATGTCTGTACTGGTGCGTCCCCAACTCCTGGGCATGATTAGCAGTTCCTAGTAAAGATTCGGGGTCCCCGTGCCCTCCTGCATTCACAAGCAGAGGGGTCTCGTGGCAACCTTTGGTCAATGTGTTTGAACTCTTACTGTCTGGAAAGCTGTCCCTGGCCCCCTCGCAGGCGCAGTCCTCCTCCATGCTCTCCGAGTGGAACAGGGCTGGCTGGTGCACGTACCCGTGGGGCGGCACCGAGGCGGGTACC